CTTTCTACTGCCCTTTTTTTCATCTCTCTTATGGATTTATTGAGGTTTTGAATTTATGTTTAGTTATTTTTTATAGTTTTAATATCTTTGGTAAAATACTCCTCCTCTTCATTAATTTTATTTCTGAGCTGACTGAATTGCCTTCCTGAGTTTTTGTTGTTTTTTTTTTTTAATCTTATTGAGTTTCTTTATGACTGCTATTTTGAACTCTATCATTTAGATCACAATCTTTCACGACTTTGTGTTTGTGTTCTGGAGAATTGTCATTTCCTTTTAGGGTTACCATGTTACCTGAGTTGTTTATGGTTCTTGAGGCGTTGTTCCTTTGACAGCACATTTGAAGTAATGAACACCTTTCTAATTTAGGTACTCTTGATTTTTACAGTTCAACAGGATGATAATTGGAGGTCTTTCTTTTCCTTACCAGCAGATGGTGCTATCGTCCAAGTTTTTGTTTTCTATTACCTGTGCTACTTACCCTCAAGGGTCATGGTGGCAGACATCACTGTGGTTGTGGGAGTCGCTTTCTGGGTGACCAGGGTGGTGGATGTCCCTGCCTGGGTCTTAGGGCATCGCCATTGAAGTAGGGAGATGTGGCATGTAGAGGGGGGCTAGCTTTGCAAGCTCATTGTGCCATTACCTGGTTTCTTATGGTTATTGGTGGCATTGTGCTGTAGCTTGGAGGCCATAGACACATCTCTGCTGCTGCTACTGCTACTGGGCTCAGCCACATGTGGGGCAGGAAGCTGGATTCTTGGACAATGAAGCTACCTTAGCCCCTCTTACTCTCCACCAGGCCATAGTGTGGGGACTCCACCCCAACTCCTCCTCTGCTACTGCATTTAGGACCACAGGCTCAGCTATAGTGTCCGGGAACCGTGTCTGTGGGTATTATGCCTGTCCTTTCCCCCAGACTGCCTACCCTATGAATGCCAATAAGTCCACCTTCAGAAATACCAATGTATGGATCTCTCGGGCATGCCACTGTGATGAATAGAGGAACCCTTGTTGGATTATAGGTGTCCGACTAGTTGTAGATTTAAGGGGTGATATAGAGGAGTCCTCTCACTCCACCATGATGCTGACATCACTCCTTGAGTTTTCTTGAATTTGTACCTTCACTTAAAAACTGACTCAAGTTACCATACTATTGGTCTCTTGATTTTCCTTGAAGGCACTGGCAATGCCATCACTTTGTGATCCACTTACAGTGCCATCATTTTGAAATAGTGAATTTGAATTCATCTTTTCTTCTTAAGTATTATACATTTCCTTAGAATTCACATTTCAAGAACTCCCTGGATATTCTGACTAATTTGCCATTTTAAGAGGCTCTCTATTTCAATTTCTCAATTCTCTGCCACTAATCCTGCCTTTAATCCTAGCAAAGGACTTCCCCTACAAAAGACCCCTAAACCATTATCATTCCCCAAGAGAAAATTGTTCTCTAATCTTTCCCTCCATTTCTTTGTGTAAACACTGAGCCTCTGACACTCCACCCAGAGAGTTGTTCGCCTTTTGTTTCTTCTTATGTGTGAATGAGCTTATGCAATCAGACTCCAGTATAATCTTGAACTCAACTCAAGTGAACAAATGATTTCCTCCTCACTGTTGTACTGCAACTCTGCAGTGGAAGAAAAGCTTCATAATTTGTTTTCACTATTGAGAATAGAGTAAGGGTTTGGTGCTACTAATCCTACTTCAAGGAACAGCCTTATTTTTAAGATGCGTATAAAAAAATCAACTTGAAAAAAGTGGTTTTTGAACGGAGCCAAGTGTTTTTAACCCCAGCTACCGAGTTAGATGCCGTAGGCACAGCCAATTTGGGGATATTCTCTTCCTCAAGTGTAATTTCTTCCTTCTCTTTCATAAGACTGGAGAGAAACAGGAGGATCAGTTAGAAGTTTGCCTATAACATGATGACAACTAATCATATTGGCTAGTAACTTCTTTTTGTGTGTGACAGACTACACTGGTTTGAAAAAAAATTTAGAGAACATTTTATTGGGAACTTCCAGAAAAAAGAGATATGTATAACATACCCTTGCCCATGCCTTTTTGGAACCATTTATTTCTAAAGTATTTGCTTGCTGTTATGTAGATGAAATCTGAGAAATTGAGAATTAAAGCCATCAATGAGCACTGTGAAAGAAAATGAGCTTCTGAGGCTTTACTGAACTTAAATATGTGATTTTTTTGTAGGCTAGTTCAAATGTTAATAAAAAAAGGCCCGGCCGGCATGGCTCAGTGGTTGAGTAAAGACCCATGAACCAGTAGGTCATGGTTCGACTTCCGGGCAGGACACATGCTTAGGTTGCTGGTTCGATCCCCAGTGTGACGCGTGCAGGAGGCGGCTGTTCTATGATTTTCTCTCATCATTGATGTTTCTGTCTCTCACTCCCTCCCACTCCCTTCCTCCACTCCCTTCTTCTCTGAAATCAATACAAATATATTTTTTAAAAAATGTTAATAAAAAAGAAAAGAGAATTGACCAGAATGTCTTTATTCTTATATCATAAACCACATTCTGCACATTCAGTTAATAATGTCTTTTCAACCAGTTTAAAATACCTCTATTGTAATCCTTTAGATTGAAGTACTTCTAGGAATTGTATCTAGGCATTCAGTTATTGAAATGAATGTTTTTAAAAAAATTTTTCTATAATGTCTATAATTTATTTTTAACTTAGAAATGTCTCAGGTGCTTTGGGATGTTCTTGTAGCTGCTATTCAGGAGCAATAGTGAATTCATTAGTAGCTAATGGATCACCATTTCCCCCAGTTTGTCCTTCATATTCTCTGGTGCAGGTCTTCTAAATGACCAGTGAAAATATGCTCACACTAACAATCCCTGGTAAAGGAAGGTTGCAGTGGCAGCACAAATGCCAAATAATCATCCATAATAAATCCATTGCTGTAGAATGATGTTTACTTTTTTAGTATATTTTGCTAATGACAAATTTTTAAAAAATAATTCTTTATTGTTGAAAGTATTACATATATCTCCCTCCCCCCATTGACCCCCTCCAACTCTCCCCCCAACTCCACCCCATGCCTTCAGCACCCTATTATCTGTGTCCATGGGTTCTGCATATATGCATACAAGGTCTTTGGTTGATTACCTCCAACCCACTGACCCTCCCCCACCTTCCCTCTGAGATGCTGCACTCTGTTTCATGCTTCCATGTCTCCGGATCCACTCTGTTCATCATTTTATTTTGTTACTTAGACTCCACATATGAATGCGATCACGTGAAAATTGTCTTTCTCTGACTGACATATTTCACTTAGCATGATACTCTCTAGGTCCCTCCATGCTGTCTCAAAGGGGAAGAGATTCTTCTTTTTTACTGCTGCATAGTATCCTATGGTATAAATGTACCACAGCTTTTTTATCCACTCATCTACTGATGGGCACTTGGGCTGTTTGTAGATCTTAGCTATTGTAAATTGTGCTGCTATGAACATAGGGGTACATACTTTCTTTCTGATTGGTGGTTTAGGTTTCTTAGGATATATTCCTAGAAATGGGCTAACTGGGTCAAATGGCAGATCCATATTTAATTTTTTGAGGAAACTCCATACTGTTTTCCATAATGGCTGCATCAGTCTATATTCCCACCAGCAGTGTACTAGGGTTCCCATTCTGACAGGTGTGAATGGTACTTCATTGGCTAATGACAAATATTAAAGCAGTTCATCAAGGAAAGTCTAAGGAATTGTTCCAGAATGAAAAAGAGTAAGAGAAATGACAACTGAATGTGGTGCATGATGTTTGATTTTTTTTGTGTGTGTGTGCCATAAAAACATTATTGGGATACTTGGTAAAATCTAAATAAAATTTATAAACTTGGTAATAGTATTGTATTAATGTTAATTTTCTGACTTTGATAATTATATGTAGTTTGGTAAGGGGATACCCTTTATTAGATACACACATAGTATTTAGGGTTAAAAGAGGATCACTTTTATAACATATTCTCAAATTATTCAGAAATCATGTTTGTGTGTGCACACACACATCACACATATGTATATGTAAGGCATATACATTTATATATTAAGGCATATAAATATATATATTTATATATATTACATATTTGTTTGTGTGTTTGCATGCACACAACAGAGATAGGTAAAGGAAATGTGGTAAAATGCTAACATTTGGGAAATAATCAGGAATTCTTTGAGCCATTCTTACGGCTCTTCTCTGTGAATCTGAAACAATGTCAAAATGAAAAGTTAAAAGAAGAGAATAAAAACCACTTAGCATGTTTTGACAGGGGAACAGGTTGCTTAGAGGCAATAATATAGCAAGAAAAACTCAAACTAAATATCGGAAATTGCAGGTCCCATTAAAACTCAGAGAACACTATTAGTCTATGTACCTTTATATGGTTATTTTTCAAAACCAAAACTAAATTTTCACTTAGGAAATCTTGTTAAATGAATTAGAACAAACCCATCCAGGAAATAGGAAATAGTAAATTCTATGATATTTTACCGGGTATTTGTTGGCAAATGCCAACTTGCCTTTAGTGTATTAAATAGGATAGTGTTCGTTTATTTTCATGAACCTTGATACTTTTCAGCTGTTTATTTTATTAATCTACTTAGTTTTCTTTTTCCTGGTGATGAAAACACTGGGTCTTGATAATTTCAGATCGAACAGAAACCACATAGTGGATTCTTTATCGATATGTTTCCTTGTTAAATTCGCTAATTTTTATGAAACATTAAATGTATTATCTAACAGGAAATGGTCTTACATTATATTTCACCAAATCTTTCCCTCCAAACATTTTCCTTCCTTGCATCAGACAATTCTTGCTTAGTATATATTTTCTCACAAGACCCCACCTTTCTTGCCCACCGACCCACATGCTTCAGGATAGGCAATCTCATTCCTACTTCCAGGGGGAAAGAACTAATTCAATCACGGTGATCCCATTTCCCTGGCCATTGCCTGGTTTAGGAATTAACATTTTCCTTTTAGCCAAAGAAAAATGCTGATTTAAATTTAAGGAGCATTTAATTCACTCCCGAGGAAAGGACGTTTCTTCTCATCACTGTGGAGTCGGACTTTGACACCTGGAACTGTGCAGCTATCTGGTGAAGCTGGTGAGAGATGGGAGGATGGAAAAATGAAGAGGCTTTGAATCCTCGCTGACACTGATGAACTGCTGCCTCAACCAGCCCTGGCACCTGAATTGCCTTTGCGCTGCCAGATATTATAGACCCTTATGGCTGGGAATCTGTGTTACTTGAAGGTACATACATGCTAACCTCTTACTCTACAGGGTGTCCCAAAGAAATGACTGCACACTTTAACAGCTGATAGCTCCATTTTGAAAATGAAATGTATTTTAATAAACACTGCATTTACTAGTATAATTATTCAGAATGTATGTGTATAAATTTTGGGGGGACACCCTACATATTCTGGAAGTTTTCTACAAAATTTTTTTAATTACATGATTTATTATTAAAAGACAGTCAATGCATCAAACCAACTAGATGATACAGGCTTTTATATTTTATTTAAATTAACCACAAAAATGCAGATTCCTTGAATCATAATCATAATCTTACTCATCTTTTGAGATATATAATAACATTTTAGAAGGGAAATTTGTGGTAAGGAAGATGGAGAAATGCTGGCTATATAGTGGAAGTAATGATATTTACCTATTTCATAAGTGATAGTGAGGATTAAATGAGTTACCATATTTAAAGCTCAAAGAACAGTGGCTGATAGGTAGTGAGTTCACAATGATTGTTAACAATAGCAATAATAATAATAATAATAATAATGACAATTTCTTCTCATGCCTTTTATTACTAAGAAACTTATCTCAATTTTAAATTGCTTTTATTCTAAGTCACAGACTCTTTGAGAAGCAAAGAACAGTGTCAATGAATTCAACTCGTGAGAGTTTTAGGGAGTAAATATTATAACTCTCAGTTCTTAGATGAAAAAGTCAAAAACTTGAATCATATTGATGGAACCATCTGCACACTACTTGCAAGTACACTTTTGGTCACCATACTGATATCAGGTCCAACAGAACAAAATTTAAAATTCTGAAGGACAGCATGATGTAGTATGGCATTTACCAAGTTGTGAGTCATGCTATAACAGTAGGTTGTGAGACCAATTTAGTGGGCTTGCAACCAGAATTTGAAATAACTGAACTAAAATAGAGTAAGATGAGTGAAATCCAAGTGAATTGCATGTATAAAGGTAGATATTGTTTTATGAAACTTTGTTTCAGCAATGTACGTGTGTCTAGGATTACATAACAAAGAGTTGTTCTCACCGTGAGTTTTGGTCATTGATGTGGTGAAAGATATGAGCTCTCTGGCAAGACAGACTTGGCTTCAGGTATCTAACTCGTTGGCTTATTATATGGAAAAGGGCATGAAACTGTGCCTGACAGTAAGAAGTCAGACTAATGTCCCTTCTTTCCTGCCTCTGTCCTCAGGCTCCCTACCCGCCTTCCTCATGTGGACTTGAACTTATGAAACCATAGAGTAAAGCAGCGCTGGCATTAGCAAACAGAGTGCCTTCCAAAGAGCAGATATAACTGTTTTAGGTATTATGTATTCATCCAAGCTTGAAACACCAAGAGCACATTGAGTGATCTGAGTCCCGAAGCAAGAAAAATCAATTTTATTTAAACTACAACCAACAGTATCTCCCGTGCTCCTCACAGCGAAGAAATCACTCTTCCTTTATTCTTAAAAGAGTAGGTATTTGGGTAAAGCTATTGATTGTTTTCAATTTGGTTACCTCGGCAGAGTGGCACACCATCCATTAAACATGGGAGTGTGAGGACAGTGGGCCACCCTGGCACGCAGAGCAGCTGGGCAGACTGTATGCTCAGGTGCCACCTGGCCACCTGCGCTGAGGCCACTGGATGCACCAGCTCTTCCTGTCAGTCGTGAAAGAGGGAGAATGAGAGGGTAAATGTATTATCACATGGTGACCATTGCTTATTCCACAGAGTCCATATTACCATAGGAACGCATCGTTTGTTTTTCCTCCAAGTCTAATCCTTTTACTTCATATTACTTACCTTAACTCTTTATGTACTATGTGGAATTCTTCTGTGAATCCCAGGGAGAAGAAACAAAACATATTATTTGATTTCACTAACACAGTATTGAGGAAAAAAGAGAGAGAGAGAGAGAGAGAGAGAGAGAGAGAGAGAGACTGATTCTCCTTCCTCCCTCCCTTCCTCCTCTCTTACTGTTCCTCTTCCTCTCTCTCCAGTTTCATTTCCTCTTCCTCCCTCACCTCTTTCCTTTTCTTCTCTGATAACATTTGTGTGTGTGTGTGTGTGTGTGTGTGCATGTGCCTGAACTTAGTGAAACTGCTGAGTTAGTCAAGGTAGGAAGTCAAATGGGTGCCTTTTGCCTCTAGAAAATATGAAAGCATGTTCCCGCCACTGAGCTGGCCCCCATGGCGGCATCAAGTGCAGCTGATGGGGAGGCAGGGAAGCACATTACCACTTCAACGCTGTCATTACCAGCAGGTTTCACTGTGAACTCAGGCATCCAGGAAAGCAGGCCGGAGGGAAAAGGGGTCAGGGTGTGGGGCAGATGGGCCAGGAGAGAGGGGAATAAAAAGCAGGATTTGGGGGGGAGGTTGTTTAAGAGGCTGACCAGAATGGTGGTGATATTAGTCATAGAGGAATTCAATTTGAATGCAAATCATAATCCTGCTTTCATTTTTATTTATTTATTATTTTTTTAGAGAGAAAGAAAGGGAGGGGGGAGAGAGAGGAACATCGATGTGAGAGGGAGACTTCAATCAGCTGCCTCCTGTACTCCCCCTACGGGGGATCAAGCCACAACCTGGTCAAGTGTCCTGACCAGGAATTGAACCAGCAACCTTTTCCTGCATGGGATAATGCACAACCAACTGTGCCACACTGACCAGGCCAATTCAGCTTTCATTTGAAAGGTGATCAAGATAGCCACTGGTTACCCTGTAGGCATATATTTGGGAAAACAAAGGCTCAGCCACACCTGATGGCTTCAGTTCATCAATTCATGTACATTTTACATCTGTCAAGACAAGCTCTTCTCTCTAGTTATAAACATCAAGATGTATAGTATGTACCAGTGTAATCTCAGAGATCAGCTCATTTTATTTTTTCTTACTGCTTACGAAGAAACTCATTTTAAGATATTTTCCTCCTTGATATAAATTTTAAGTTTATTTTAAATAAATCACTTACTTAATATAGACACATTAATTTAGTTCATAATACAGCTAGTTGTCAAGTGCTGTGTTCTCTTACAACAGGAGAAGCTGGCTTAGGAGAAGGAGGAAAGTTCAGAAATGGGTTTTGCTTTCTTCATTCCATGATACCTAGCTTTCTTCTCATGGACACTGAGCTCTTAACTGAGAGTAGTTATAATCATTTTTGTCTGTTTCTGCGAAGTCTGTTTTCTGTCTGAATTCTGTTGTGCAGCATATCCGATAAGCAGATCCCTAAGGAGTTCAAAGTCAGCTCGTTAGTTCCTGGATGTGTCGCAGGCCCTTGTTAATCCAGTTATGCGAAGCAGGTTACTCATTTTCCCATTTCTACTCCAACCTGCCTGTACGAAGGCTTCTAATTTTATTGCAGAATGATCCACTTAATAGCAATAGAGAAATCATTAGTATTATTATCTTTGAATGCAACAGTGGTTAAGAGTAATTCTAAGCCAAGTGTTACAGAAAAAAAAATAAGCGGTATATAATGGCTATGCTACCATTCCCTACAGGACTATCTATTTTCCCAACAACAAAAAAGTCTAGTGCTTCCCCAAGTTATTTTTTAAAGGGCTTAAGCAGTCATTCAGATAATCAGACTTCATTGCTGTGAAATTTCATCAAAGTGTACTCAATCCTTGAACTCATATCTGGGTCCATTTTGCCAATCAGATAAAACTTCCTAGGCTTTTTCCTAGAGGCATGGGGGTTAACTTGATCTTATTGCACTGCAAAAGATTTTGTGCTACAAACCATTTTTCATAAAAGCTATTTGTTGTGTTAGGAGCACTCCAGACAGGCTCCTTGTTAAAATAGATTAGGGGGTGGGATGGCTTGCTCTGCTTTGTCACTTTGGATGAAATGAAAAATTCTTAGAAATTCATACAAGCTAACTGCAGAAGAAATGAAAAGGCAGAAAAAGAATACAGGGAAAATTAGCATCTTAGGAAGTACAAATGTCATTTCTCATGAACGGACCAATAATTATTTAAAAAAAAAGAAAAGGAGGGGGAAAAAAAATAACCCTAAGATAACCTCTGACTTGGAAGCACTTGCAATTCATTTGTCTTAAGATTGCCACCGGCTTCTTTTCATGTTTGGGTCATAGAGGTTGACGCCAACGGAGTCCTTTCTTCTTTCCTCTGTAAAGGTCAGCCACCCATGTCAGGCCCACTCACTCCCGTAGCCCCACAAACAGCCTTTGCATCGAAAAAGCACTAGGTGGTGCCCATTTTCTTTGCCGATGAAAGAGCTGGATTTCCCCAGGGGAATCACGCAGGGAAGTTCATCAGCCCGGAGCCCCACACCGTGCGGTCCCCTCCTCTAACAGATGACCAGGAGCGGGGTGTCACGTTCTGTTATTTCCCTGAAGCATCCTGGGGCTTGCCCGGTGGAGGACAGAGCTTTGGTTTGGGTGACAGTGCTTTTAAAGGTGAAGTTGGGAATGGAGGGATGGTGGTGGCAAGCAGCTTTGAATATTCTCTTTGAAAAGAAAAGATAAAGAGGAATGAAGGCTGCAACTCTGCCATCTGTGTCTCTAAAGAAGTGGGAGCATCATATCGTTGCCAAGGCTTCCTTTCCTCCTGCCAGATCATCTGACAACGCAGTGCATGTGCTAGTTTAATGTTTCTCATTTTTACCCAGAGTCAAGTTGTAAGAATCATAAAAGAAAATAAAGGCTAATTTTAAATTTCAGTTTGCTTCCTCAAGAAAAGAATGTTTTGTCAAAGGAAGTATGGTGCAACTGAGGAATTTGCATGCCTGTATATACTGTGTGAAGAGGTAGCTTTATAACACTGGGTTTATTTCTTAAAAAAAAAAATCTTATTAGGCACGCTTAACAGATTGTTGCTTTGTGTGCAAGGAGAGCAAATAATTGGCTAAGAAGATGTTTTCTTCTGGAGAATTCTATCCAGGCGCTATGCCCATCAGATTTGTTTTAGAATTTAGAAGCATTCAGAAAGTTTTTGTTCTTGTAAAGGTCTGGTAGCTGCAATTGGGCGTGATCATACTATTGCCAGAAAATGAAAAGAAAAAAAGAAGATACTGATTTTTTTCCTAGTTAAAATATGCCAAATCATTGTCTATCTATGACCTATTCTCAGAAATTTGGCTGAATGGGGTCAGTTTGTTCAAATATATTTATTTTGTTTTAAAGGAGGCAAGAGAATAGTCTTTTTGACTATCAAAAAGTAGACTTGTACTAAAACCTAAATCCAGATTCCTAGTTGGTGAACCATACTCCAAAATAAAGGGAAAATAAAGATGGGTAGTAGTTTTAAAAAGTTGAAAAAAGAAAAAGGCTTTATCATGAAACTCCGAGAATTATTTCTGTGCTCTCGCTGCCCTGTCATATGTCATGACATGTGGCAGGTTGACTGCTCATTAATTCTATTTATATCAGTATGATAATCCACCCCACTGAGTACACATGTGTTAAAATATTCATAAATTATGTTTATTGCGGACAAATATACATTAAATGCCAAAAGAAGACCATTATTTAAAGACAAAACTAGTCAAACTCAAACAAGCATTGCCTTTTTACTGTCAGCCCGTACATTACGTTTTATCAAATTCGCATTAATTGCCTCTCCTTCCAGTGCCTCATAGGGAATGTTTATTTTTTATTTTTAAAATGTGCAAAAGCAATAGGTTTCTCTGAAAAGAATAGACTTTGGAAACAAAAGCTGTTACGTTATTTCAGACAAATAATAACATCGACCGGAACAAACCATCGAAAGGCACTTCTGGCCTTCAAATTTGGTGAAAATATGACATTTAAACCCTAATACAGATTTTGAATTTGAGGGTGTTTTTCATGACCCCGAAGCCCAGATTAAATAAATCAGGGACTTCTTGATAAAAGGCTGCAAATAGCAATTTTAAGTTTATACATATTTTGAAACCAAATATGTAAAGGTGGTTGAGAAAATCTAGGACGTTGAGAGTTGAAACCAATAATTAAAACGTGCTGCAGCCCACTGTGCTTTGGAACTTATTGCTTCCAAACGAAGCAATCCTGACCTGCTCTATTTTGAGTGATTTCAGGAAGTTGAAGAAGTCGAGGTGATTATTCTTTTTACAAGCTGCCTGTGCTGTTACAGACCACAGTTGAAAAGTTTGAATTCCTTGTCAAAATCCAAAGTGGTTTTAGTTAAAATATATTGCCTAGCTTATCCAATTCATCACATTCTGAATTAATGCCACGAAAACATCGAGGATTATTAATTATTAGGACCACACTTCAGGTATACCTAAAATAATGGTCCTTTAAAAAAATGAACTGTGTGCTGGCCTAATAGCCTATTTACAATACTCTCTAGGAAACTGTTATAAATTTTCAAAACTTTAATTATGCGTAAAGGGACACTCTTTTTTGTTTTCTGGAGAGAATGACAAATGATGAGTAAAACAAAATAGGAAATTCTGATTTCATTTAATTGTTATCATATGCTTTTTAAAAAGGGGAGCAGGAAAGGACACCCAGTGAAAATGAAGTACTTTTCTTACGTTCCCAATATAATGCTGCAAGAGTGAAGTCATCACCCTTGGATTGCATGTTAACTTCAGGTAAGATATCTGTTATTTGTTTTTAAGTTTCGGCTTTATTGAGGTGTAATTGACAAAATTGTAAGATAATTTAAAGTGTACACAGTGGTCATTTGATATATGTATTCATTGTCTAAGAATTCCTCCCATCTAGTTAATTAACACATCCATCACCTCACATTTTATCCTTATCTTTTTTGGGGGGAGGGTGGTGAGAACACTTTAATTCTACTCTCTTAGCAAATTTCAATTATATAACACAGTGTTATCAAGTATGGTCACCATGTTTACATTAGGTTCTCAGACCTTATTCACCTTATAGTTGAACGTTTGACCCCTTTTACAAACAACCCCTGCCTATCTCCTTCATCCCCAGCCCCTTACAATTAATATTCTACTCTCTGTTTCTATGAGTTTGACTTTTTTTTTTTTTTTTAAGATTTCACATAAAGGTAAAGTTTCCAATATAGTGATACCTCACAGAATGTTTTACTTTCCACTTTCCCTTGGAAGAAAATTACATCATTTAAAGAAACTTATGGGCATGGGAATTGATCCTAAGAAAATAATTCAAAATGTGGGAAAAGCCATATGTATAAAAACTGTCTTTATAATGTTAAATATAATAGTAAACATTGGAAGGTATTTTAATATCTAGTAATGGAAGCATAGTTAGAAAAATGATAATCACCTGATGAAATATTATACAGTCAATAAAAGTATGGGCACATAGCAGTATGGGAAATGTATAATAAAACATTAAATGAAAAAGTCAGGATATAAGATTAGGGTATAACATAATTATAATAGTGTTAAGATATACAAATAATAAAATGTTAAAAGAGGACGAACAAAAAGCTATTCATTAAGGAGTAAAACTGATTTTTTGCCCTTTTCAAACTTCTTTTAAGCTGTCTTGCTAAAATAATTTAAAATGCATTTAAAATTTCAAAGAAATTATTTGGAAGAAATCAATAGTCAATTTACATTTTTTTTCTTTAGATGTCATAAATAATCATGACAGATTTTTGAGGAGAAAAATTATACAACTCCCACTTCCAAAAATGCGAACTTTGAAACCAGTATCCCAACGTGCGGCTTGAGCAGTCAAACCTAATTTGCTTTTTACTGAATCACAGCGCACATATATTTTATGAGATAAGAATTCCCTCTTTTATTTTTTGTATTTCCTTGCTTATTTATATCCAACCCCAAACCACAGCATTTCATCTAACCATTCTCAAAAACCCTGAGCAGCCATTTCAGAAAAACAAAACAAAACAAAACAAAAACACATATCAAAACACCACAAAACACCCTCATTAAAGCTCTCTTCGAAGTTTGGGGTAGACTTTCATGTGAATCTTGGCCTCTGTGCAGCATGCTGCACGTTATTTTCATCAGAGATTTGAACATATTGGAAGAACTAGAGCCTTCCTTTCTTTTATCCTGTCATCCACCCACCCCCACCCCCACCCCCACCCCCCTGGAAATGATGGGCATATGGCAGGCACCCTCCCTGGATTCTCAAACAACAGGAGGGACCTGATTTCAATTCCTACATCCTGTCATCAGTGACTCTCGGGATATTTTGTTCTTGCAAGGCTAAAGATGTGATTCGAATTTACCATACGGACAGAGCTTAATGCGATGCCATTTTTACCACCAGAGCCCTCAATCAGTTAATTAAACATGATATAAATCACCGCATGTATTTGTAAAGTAAGATTAATATGGCAAAGTCAAAGTAAATGAGGACTTCTCCCCATCCTAGCAGTGTGAATCACCGGTAGGAAGATTACGCTTTTGGAAACTCAATACTTTTGAGCAGGCTTTGTTGGTTTAATCCCTCAGACTGCTTTGTGCAACTCGAAACCTCGAGCTGTCATCTTTAGCCAAAATTTCAGCCATAACTTCCTCAGCTTTCACCCCATTATTGAAATCAGCATCCACCATGCTTAACAAAGATGGACCTTTCTGCGGACCACAGGGCAGCCTCTTACCACCTGGACACCAGAAGCACGTTTCATAAATATTTCATTTTGTCTTAACATGAAGACTTTCCCCAGTTTCCCATTTCTTTCCTTTCCTGGGGAGCTAAGGGCTACCCCCAAGCTGCACATTCCATCACTGTAGTCAGTTAGGTTTATAGCCTTAATAAAAGGATTTTCCCCTTTCACGTGCTAGGGCGCCTTGTTAAACCAGAGCAATTATAGAAACACAAGATAGGTGCTCTGCGGAGATCAAAGCTCACCTAAAGACAGCTCTGTAGGAATTCGGAGCTCTCTTTGAAAAGCGCTCAGTTTACAAAGTATAGAGAGGTATTAAACCTCAGGAATTAAAAAAAAAAAGCCGAGTTTCAAATAATGTTAAGAGTCTGACAGTAGTTAATATGGGATCTCCTCCAGCCACTCTTTGTGTATTATTCCTAATATCTATTCACAGCGTATCTGTAATAGCTCCAAAGGAACCATTATGCTCAGAAGACATACGCATATGATGGATCCTTAATACCAAATACATTACCTACTCAGTAGGTACATTTTAACCTCAGTATCCTAGCTCAGGGGGGAAGGGTGAGAAAATGGCCTGTACATTTCTTTAGGAGGAAAAAAAGAAATGCAGCAGGCCTGGGTCTTATGGCTATGGCTCTCTCAGCAAAATCCCTAGAGGCTTCACCAGGTGACAACAGCACCTGCCCTTTGGGGCCACTGCACAGCTCACCCAACTAAAATGGGGCATTAATGCACCCAGCCGTGGGCATTGTAATGTTTCCTCTCCCTCTCCAGATTGTATCCTTCTTCCTGAACATACAGACACACACACACACACACACACACACACACACACACACACACACACACACCCCTCGCTTGGGTTTAAACTCAACCTTGTGGCTACAGGAGCTTCCAGGTGACAAAGGGTTTGGGGATGCCTTTCTTGATTCAGCCCCGTTTGCAAGTCAAACATTTTCTTTTGTTGTGCGGCATCTCAATACAACAACAACACAGAGTAAATGGGCTCAGGCTGGGATTTTGAATTCCATGCTTCAGTTTAGAAAAATGAGTTATTTAAAAGGCAGCTATTGCCAAGAACATTTTGCTATTGATTTAGAGAACACCGTTTGGAGTTTTTGGTGTCTAGTAATCTTAGCTTGGAAAAAATGCGGAGGTAAATGGAAACCCCTTATTTTACTTCAGCGTTTCCATGCTTAAGAAAACATTTAATGATGATAGAAATAAGAACTGATATTTATTGACTGCTTGTTGTGTGCTAGGTTTTATGCAAAAGGTGGTTGCATGAAATATCTTAATCTTCATGACAACCCTATGAGGTAGGTTCTATTATTACATTTATTTTTTAGACAGGGAGGCTGTGACACAGAGGGGCTGTGTCATTTGCCAGAGATCACACAGCTAGTAACAGGTGAGGTCTGGATTTTAAATCGGGGTTACACGACGCTAGAATCTCAGTTTTACAGCCTGTGACTATCTGATTTGAAGTTTATTTTGTGCCATGACCTAAAATTTCTGTTTTATAGTTTCTTTTTGTTTAGCAGCAACATTTAGGAGTTGAAATTAAAGTTAGCAGAGTTGCTTATGTTTTTCTGAAAATTTTGGTGTTGAATGGATTTTTTTAATTTTTTAATTATAAAAAATAACTTTTATTTTCAAATTAAAAATTTGTTTAGTTACACTTGACATTCAATATTATATAAGTTTCAGGTGTACAGCATAGTGGTTAATGTAACTTTAAGTTTTGTGCTCTCATAATTTATTTTGGGAAATGCCATACACCAAAAGTAAACAGAGAGAGTTTCATGACAGTAAACAACTACCTTTTTGCAATCATCATTTCATAATTCATCTAAGAAAATGTCATTATTGAAAGTAAAAGCATTCAGTTATCTTGTTTGCCTTCCCTTTAAATAATGCCTTTCCTCTGATTAGTTCAGATTCTGATATTTTATCTAATAGTGAAGGAGACTGTTTCAGATTCAGAAGTATTATGTTGCAATGTTAGTCAGATAGGCCTGAATTAGAATCTTAGATTTACCAATATTGGTTCTATAATCAATCTTGGGTCTATAGTTCAATTCTCTTGGTAAAATGAGAAAAGTAATGCCAATTATACATTGTTATTATGGGAACTAAAATGAATCATGTACACAACACCTACCGGAGTTCTAACCCCTGGTGGTCTGATACATATCATTTTCCTCTCTCCTCCCCTTGATTGTATTTGTCATGGACCTGGCTGAAGAGGTTCCCATTCCCCCTTAGAGAAGCTTTGGAAGTCCTCCTTTCATAGTCTGGCACTTTGTTAGAAAATAATGCTGATGCCCTCGTCAAGCTGGAGTCCAAGTTTGTGCCATCCAGAGAGCCCTTTGAGCCACCAGCCAGACCCGAGACTCGGAACAAAGAGAAACTTACTCTTCTGGTCAGGGCTCTTGTTTGATGGTCACACATCAAGGGGGCCCTTGAAATAGAAGAAAAATGTACCATTTCAGTTTTTAGATTATGAACAGTGTGGGTTTTAAGAATTTTCTAGCTATCTTCTGTGGATTGTCAGATCTCATTTGAACAAATACCTCAACCTGCAGCTCAGCAGCAACGGATGTCATCTTGTCCTTTAAGACCTCGTCACCCACTGCTCTAAGACAGGCTACTTCCTCCTGAGGCTACGGAGACCTGGCCTGCATGTTCCCATTCTAGCTTCTTGCTGATATATAATAAATATTAATAATTATTCAATCAATCAATCTGCCGCCTTTCATTAGCACTAAATTTCTTTCACGGTATGAAAACACAGTTGACATTTTATCGAAATTCAAGACTTTTTTGAGGAGTCATTTTAATCTTTGATCTGAGTATGTGTCTCTAGAAACATATATGCATACCAATATTCTCTTTAAAAAAACTGTTAATGTCAAAAAATGTTTATTCTACTTCTTGACATCTCCCTGTCTTTTCTTTCCTCACTTTTCACAATCTTTCTTTGTCTACATAAAATGCTCTCATT